ATTTACCCTCAGTAACCATGATTCCTTTCATTCATCTCTTCCAGACTTCGGGATAAATCTTCCTCTTACATATGTGTTGGCTTTTCCCTTCAGACCACAGCTTTAAAAGAACTATTGTTTTGTTTTCCAATTCGGTTAAAATTTCCCTTCCGTTCTCAAGTTTGTAGAAGGAACACTAGAATTTGTGAACTTGTATTTTAAGTCAACACAAATAATGTCTTTATCCATCCAACTTTGTAAAAAAACAAAACAAAACAAAAATCTCTAGCTTTATCCAAGTTCACGCTCCATATAAAGTTTTTTATCTACCTCCCTCATGAGAATATCATTGTTTCAGAGCAACTCCACCTTCCTAAACTAATACCTCACTGCTTAATTTATCTGTGAAATTCTGATGTTGCCCAGTGTGTCCAACTCAACTTTACTTTGGTTTCTGATTTTTAACAAGTAGGACCTGCTTGAAGAGGTCATTGGGATAGGTGGGAAAGAAACCACTTAGATTTGCCAAAATAGTAAATCAATTTTCCAGATCTCCAGCTCCAGTAGCAACACCACAAATATTTCTGGACCAGTGGTACTCATCTAGATAGAGCCTAGTTTAAGCTTCCTGTTCTAGCTCTTAATCAGCAGTGGTCATTGCTCAAAACTCTGTCTTCCAACTCTAAGGCCCTTCCACTGGCTCTCTAGACTAGAATGCTCTCCTCTTCGCCTAGCCTCAGATTCCCTGGCCTCCTTGGAACTTCAGTGTGAATCTTACCTTCTAAGATGGTCCCAGGTCCCCCTACTGCTAGTATCTCCCCTGTAAGATTGTCTTCTACCCACTCTATATCTACATGTAAATACTTGTTTGCATGTTTGTCTCCTGCTTTAGAATGAGACAGTATTTTTGCTTTTCTTTGTATCCCCAGAACATGGCACAGTCCTTGGCATATAATAAGTGCTTAATAAATACTTGTTAACCTGACTTCACTGACTCAACAGTGCTGTAAGCTAGCAGATCTCCATGTAGGGTATTCCATCTCTACTTGTATGGAGAAACACCAGCCCTGTCTGAAAAGGTCCTTCTCCAGTTCATAGACTCCCTTAGAGCTCTGGTGCCACTTTCCTACCTGGGGCATTTCCTGACTCCATTCCCAATTGTTAGTTCTTATCCTGGTGTCCATGAACTTGTTTTGTTCTTTAAAATATTTTGATAACTGCATTTCAATATAATTGCTTTCCTTTGTAATCATATATATTTTATCTTATGCATTTAAAAACATTATTCCAAGAAACGGTCCAAGAAACGGTTTGGTTTCACCAAACAGTCAAGGGATCTATGGCACAATAAAAAAGTTAAGAAGCTCTACTCTAATGTCTACAGGAATACTATGTTCTCTTCCATCCAGCTCACCAAAAACTGTGTGCAACTTCCTGTTTCGGTCTTTGAACATAAGGCCCTGGAGGATTTAGCAAGGCAGTCAATGGCAGTAGCTACACCCCCCCAAGCACAGGATGATGACTGAGCAGTGGACTGAGCCGTGCTCATCCCTCCAAAGCAGATGTCCATACCAACTCTGAACCCAGAACATCTGTTTTTCCACAACCACGCACAGGCACTGCGTTGAAGAACACACTCCGTAAACCACAAAGTGCAGTTCTCACAACTACGAAACTCCACGAAGAAGCCACCAAAGAAAGCCTGTTCCATAGGCCTGTCTGCTCAGGGTACTTTCCGAGTATGTTTCATATATGGAAAAATATGGGGATTTTAAAACACCACCACATCGCTACAGTAATAAATGGGGAACTTGAAAAGAGTGATGACTGAAACAAAGCATACAGATTTAGTAAGTTGTCACAAACATTTTCCGGGTTGGGTTAGGGTTGTGGGGGAGAGTGGATTTTTTTTTTTTTACTGTTTTGTCTTCTTCCCCTAAAAATACTGAAACTGTTTTATTTTGGTTTTCTTGTTTGATTATTTTCTCCAATCAATCTATAAGTATTTATTAAACATATATTATATACATATGTATGTGTGTGTGTATGTGTGTGTGTGTGTGTGTATATACACACACTGTATTAAGCACTGTGGGATACAAGAGCAAAGAATCAAACAATTCCCAGTCTGAAGGAGTTTACACTCTGATGGGAAAGACAAAAAATATATCGATAAGTATGTATAAAATTAATATAAAGGAATAAATACAAAGTAAATATTATTAGGTAGTTGCGGGGCAGTTAGGTGACACAGTGGATAGAGAGTCAGGCCTACAGTCAGAAAGACTCATCTTCCTGAGTTCAAATCTGCCCTTAGACACTTACTAGATGGGTGACCCTGGGTAAGTCACTTAACCCTGTTTGCCTCAGTTTTCTGAGCTGGAGAAGAAAACTCCAGTATCTTTGCCAAGAAAACTCCCAACAATGGGGTCAGGAAGAGTTAGACATGACTCAAAAATGACTGAACAGGGGTAGCTAGGTGGCACAGTGGATAGAGCACCGGCCCTGGAGTCAGGAGGACCTGAGTTCAAATATGGCCTCAGACCCATAACACTTACTAGCTGTGTTACCCTGGGCAAGTCACTTAAACCCACTGCTTAGCAAAAAAAAAAAAAAAAAAAAAGACAAAAAAAAGGACTGAACAACAAGAATTTGAGGGCAGGAGATTGCTGGCAGTTGTAAGGAATAAATAAAGGCTTTATGTAAATCAGGAGTTCTTAACCTGGTCCACAGACCCCTAAAAAGTCCACAAATAGACTTTGGGGGTTGAGAGTCTCATCATCATCATCATCATCATCATTATTATTATCATTATTATAGCTATATTTAATTATAAATTATTTCCTTTGTGATCCTAAATATTTTTGTTACATGTATTTTAAAATATTATCCTTAGCAGGAGCCCCTAGGCTTCACCAGACTGCCAAAGGGGTCCATGACACCAAAAAAGGTTAAGGATCCATGAAGCAGAAAACAGTACTTGAGCTGCATGTTGAAGGAAGAGACGCTTCTTTAAGGAAGAGGATTTTATAAGTCAGTGGTAAGGAAGTTCATTACTGACATGGAGTATAGACAGATCAAGGCACAGAGGAAAGAAAAAATCAAGCAGAAGAACATCGAAGAAATGCACCCCTGCTTTCATGGAGCTGAAACCTGAATTCTCGATTTATTCTCAGACTCTCTGGACAGCAGTGCAGACCACAATCCGACCACACCTGCCCAACCTTATCCACATACTCCCATAAGTTCTCCTCAAGTTCTCCCCCAACAGTCCTGGTGGCCTTTTCTGTTTTCACATTGCAAGAATAGCAATGGCACGTGAAGCTATCCATCAATTATCTGATTATCCCCTCACCTAGAATTCTGACAGTGAAATAAAGCATCCTCACAGGAACTTACCATAATATTTCTCCCAAGCACCCAATAATCTTCTTGGTCTCAAACGAGAACTTTTTCTCTTTATCATCTCTCAGAATGATGAATTACATAAAAAGGAGGCTGACATATTGGACAATGTGGAAGACTTGAAGCCCTTGTCACGGTCCTCAGCACTTGGTAGGTGCATAATGCTTTGTCCCTTCCTTTCTCTTTCCCTTCAAGAATCTCTCCACCACTCCTGTGCTTTTGTTCAAAATAATTCTATTCCTGGAATACTAATCACCTCTACCCCTCTGAATCTCAACTCCTTTCAAGAGAGTTCAAATGTCTCTTTCTTTATAAGACCTTTCCTGACTTATTCAATTAGTAGTACACTCACCCTACCACCCCTGCAAATCCTTTGTTTATCTATTATATTTACTTTTCTCTATACATGTTGTCTTTCTTCCCCTCCCCCCACACACCCCTGCCCATCCTAGGAAATAAAATTTCCTTGAGGACAGGAGCTGTTTTCATTTACTCTGGTATATCCACTGACTGGTGCAGTGCCTAGCACATAGTAGGCACATCACAAATGTGTAGTGAATTGAATCATATGATCAAGGGTGAAAAATGACCATAAACCTACCTGCTGAATCTCCACTATTTTTTTCTTTTCTTTTTTTTTTTGGTGAGGCAAACAGGGTTAAGTGACTTGCCTAGGGTCACACAGTTAGTAAGTGTCAAGTGTCTGAGGTTGTATTTGAACTCAGGTCCTCCCAACTCCAAGGCCAGAGCTCTATCTACTGTGTCACCTAGCTGCCCCTGAATCTCCACTATTAACAAATGAAATCTCTATATCTTCATCTGGAAGCTCCCAGATGTTCCCTTCAACAAGACAATCACCTCCCTGTTTTCAAATGTGGGTTTATTTTTTTCTTTGTCATTCTCCAAATTTGAAAAAAAAAACCGTCCACTATTTTGTTGTTTGTTGTGTGTTGTTCGTGTGTTGTGCCTGACTTTTTGTGACCCTATTTGAGGTTTTCTTGGCAAAGATACTGGAGTGGTTTGCTATTTCCTTCTCTAGCTCTTTTTACACATAAGGAAACGGAGGCAAACAGGGTCAAATGACTTGCCCAGGGTCACACAGCTAGTAAGTATCTGAGGCCAGATTTGAACTTAGGAAGATGAGTCAGTCTTCTTGACTCTAGGCCTGGTAATCTATCTACTGTGCCACCAAGCTGCCCATTATCCACCATATTTTCTACCAAATGCAATAGTGGAGACTAAGTAACTATCAACAAATCTCACCAATGCCTGGCATTTCATGGGATTATCCATTCAGAGCTAGAAGGGACCTTAGAGGATATGGAGTCCAACCCTCTCATTTTACACACTAGGAAACTGGGGTACAAAGAGGTTCAGTGACTTATCCAAGGTCAATAAGTGTTGTGTCTGAGGTCAAATTTGAACCTAGTGCCCTCTGCATTACTCCACACTGATTCCAATTTCAATTCTCCTACTTAACAAATCTGGTAGAACCAGTATGAAATGAAAAGAGTTGTGAGGAGAGGTTTATGGTGAAAAGAGACTGAACATGCATTAAACTAATTACTTCTGCTACTACTTTATGCACCATTCACAATCATGCCCATGATACTTACTGATGCCCACGGCCGTAATTAGCTTGATTGCAAGTTCTGGGATTTCACACTGAATAAAAAATGGTTCCAGGATATAGCGTCCAAATGCCAAGGATATCACAGCAGTGGCAGCAGGGCTAGATAGCACAGAGAAAACGGTCACAATAGGAAAAGGCTGAGAGCATTTCCATTCAAGTTTTGATGCTTCAATTTAACATTCATTAGTATATGAAACACTTGCTTCTTTTTATGTTGGAGATCTTTGTTGTGCTTCATAAAATCACAGTAATAATGAGAGCTGACATTTATATGGCTTTTTAAGGTTTGCAAAGGACTTTTACATCCGTTATGCTATTTGATCCTCACATTAAACCTGTGAAGCATTATCATCCCCATTTTATAGATGGAGGAATTGAGGTTTAGAAAGAATTAGGGACCAGCTTGTGGTCACACAGCTGGTAAAAGTCAGAGGCAGAATTTTAACCCAGATCTTCCTGATAAAATGATGAAATCTGAGAGGTAAAAGGGATTTTGGCGGCCATGCAGTCCAAACCAAACATAAAAGAAATCCCTAGAACATTGTTGTAGTTGAGTTATTTCCAACTCTTCATTGCCCCATTTAGGATTTCCTTGGTCAAGATAACTACCGTGGCTTGCCATTTCCTTCTCCAGCTCAGATGAAGAAATTCAGGGAAACAGCAAGGTTAAGTGACTTGCCTGGCTAGGAAGTGTTTGAGGCCACATCTGAACTCAGGTCCTCCAGATTCCTGGTCCTCCTTGTACCCCTAACTTCCTGATACTAAAACATACTCCACATATAGCTATCCAGCCTCTGCTTGAAGACATCAAGGAGAGCAAACCCATCACTGTCCAAGACAGCTTATTCAACTTTTATACAGCTCACAGTGTGTGTGTGTGTGTGTGTGTGTGTGTGTGTGTGTGTGTGTATTTGGAGAGATATGTTTGTATACATACACATATGCATACATATGTATGTTGTATTGGTATCATAATAATTAATAATTGCATCTATCATTTTATAACGCTTCAAGGTTTGCAAAGAGCTTTACAATGATCTCATTTTATCTTTACAACCACCCTGGGTGGCAGGTGCTATTATTGTTCCTATTTTACAGATGAGGAAACTGAGGCAGACAGCTGTTAAGTGACTTGCCCAAAGTCACAGAGCACCTAAGTGTCTAAGACTGAAATAGAATTCAGGTCTTCCTGGCTCCAAGTCCAGTGCTCTGTCTCCTATACTGCTTAGCTGCCTATATATACATATGCCTATGCATATATCTGAATATATTCATTTATATGTTAATGTGTTTTATGTACATGCAAATAGACACATATATGAGCAAAAATGTGAAGTAGGAGAAATTGATCTGCTCCTCCCCCACAGTACTCATTCAACCTTTCCATTTCAGCATCTTTCCCCCGTTTCTGAGCCCCTTTCTCACAGTTACCTTGTGCTCTCTGAGAAGTCAGAAAGGCCCTGCAAAATCTATGCATTTCCTTTCTGACTGTCCTTTTGATAACTAAACTTATTTATTCCTTGTCTTACTTCTTCTCCACCCTGCTATGACTCTAGGCAACAGTTTGGATTATAAACTAATTTATGCTATTATTTGGAAGGCTCTAATATAATAAGATGAGGCACCTAGGTGACTCAGTGGATAGAGCACAGAGCCTAGAGTCAGGAGGACCTGAGTTCAAATTTGATCTCAGACACTTACTAGATATGTGACCCTGGGAGAGTCACTTAACCTCTGTTTGCCTTAATCTACTGGAGAAGGAAATGACATCTAGTTCAGTTATCTTTACCAAGAAAATCCCATGAACTGTATGGTACACAGAGTCAGGAAGAGTTAGAAAATTGAATGACTAAGCAACTATATAATAAGACAGCATAGGCCAGCTTTTATAACTTATTTGCATTTTAATGATAACCATCTATAGACAATGGTTTGGCACAGAGGAGTAGTTAAAGGTTGAGGTCTGACGACCTGGATTGGAAGCCCAGTTTGCTACTTCCCACTTGTGGCAACCTAAGAAATTAAAATCTTGTGGCCTCAAGTTTCTCATCTGCATAATAAGCAAGTTGGGCTAGATGCTTTCCAAATTCCACCCCAGTTCTAAATTCTTTGATGCATGAGTCAATGAAATTATATAGTATGATAGGTTAACGGGTGGAGAAGTTAGAGACATCTTAGTACCTCTCAAATCAATCCTAGTCTGTCAATTCTGCCTGCATCTACTTTGGAACCAGGTCTTTTTCCCCAAAGACTCAACAGAGTCCGTCAGACCTAATCTAATCTATTTTCTGTAGCATCCGGGTTCTAGGAAAGAAATTTTATTTTAATGGATTCCCAAATAATTATAGGGCACAATATACACACATATGTGTATCTGTGTGTACTCCCTCTCCTTGGCGCTATTACTAGACTTGGCTGAAATGTCAGTCGGCATTAGGCTAGCACACAATAGTCCCCAGATAATTTGGCAGAAAGAGAAGGATGGTAGAATCATGGATTCATTGTTGTAAATTTCCTTAGAGGCCATATAATCTACCCTCATCCTTTACAGATGTGAATACTGAGTCCCAGACTCAGTAAGTGACTTACTCAATGTCAAACAGAGAGTAATAATAATGATAATGATAGGGGTGGGTTTAAATCCAGACCCTTTGACTCCAAACCAAATGCTCTTTCTCATTCTATAGTGATGCTTCTACCATCACTGGTTGATCTCACACACACACACACACACATGCTACACACTTTGATTACCAAGTGTCTACTGCTTTCTAGAAACACAAGAACAGCAGACCCTACTGTATCCTCAGAATGCTACTTAGTGTCTACCTCACCACTTTATAAGTATGAAATTTGGGAAAGGAGAGGTGGATTTCTGGCCCAACTGGAGAGCAAGAATGTACAATTATTTTTCCCCCAACCTAACTCTGGACAGGTCTAGGAGGCGGTCAGCCAAAAAGCAGCCTAGTCCTATGGCCCATCTATACTACATTATGCTGAACTACTTCAGGGAGATACTCATCAACTATCTTCTTTAAAATCCCTTGAGAAGATTAAACTGCCTCCCTTGGTAATAGATTCCGCTGTCTCACAGTGATTATCACTGAAAAAGTCATCAAAATGTCTAACTTTTCCCCTGATTTCCAAGAGCATAGACATTTCAAATTAATAGTGTCTTCCTACCATATGGGGGAGGAAGAGATCATCTCACATTTCAAGTATAGCCTATAACTCTACCTAAGTCCAACATTCATATGAAAGCATAAGTCTCCTGGATTCAAAATATTAGAGCTGAAATTCTAAAAGATCAAAATCCATTAAAAATAGATTGGACACCTACTGCAAGGCACTGTGCTATGAAGGGGAAGGGTTGGTCTCCACCACCAGAAATTTACAGTTAAGTCAGAGCAAGAGTATAAGAGGCAACCCTAACCCAAGCTCGAATAAATACCAAATCAGAGTCACAGGAGCACTATGTAGTACATATGGAGTACATAGAAGGACAAATCACAACTAAGTGGTGCAATGGATAGATCACTGGGCCTGAAGTCAGACAGACCTGAGTTCAAATCTGGCCTCAGACACTTATTAGCTGTGTGACCCTGGGCAAGTCACTTAACCTATGTTCACCTCAGTTTCCTTAGTCATAAAATGGGGATAATAATAGCATCTACCTTGCAGGTTTTTTGTGAGGACCAAATGAGATAACATGACAATAACAATCACATTTATAAAGCATTTTAAGGTTTACCTAGTGCTTTACATGTGACAACTTACTTGATCCTCACAACAACCCTGGAAGGTGGGTGCTATTGTTATTTATGTTTTGCTATGTCATGTCCTGCCATGTTGATGGGGAATCTGGCCCCCTGAACTTTCCTATACATACAGCAGCCCAGATCCCTGGGGTCACCTGAGGCATTCAGCCCATCCCAGTAATTCTTTTAACTGTCTTTTTCACTGTGGCCCTCACACCCAGCCCAGACCACTTAACTCTTTTCATTGTCTGCACCTGGCCCACCCTAGGCTACTTGCTACTCCAGATTTTCTCACTGACCCTTTCCCCCTTTTTCTATATAAAAGTACCAACCTTACCCCCATTAAATTGGGCAGATTCTTAGAATACCCTCACTTCTATCTGGAATACAATAAACCTTGTTACTATGACTAAAAGAAGGCTTGAATGGTCGAAATTCTTACAAGGCACCCTAGCATTTTGGGGTTCCTAGCATCCCAAACCACAACAATGCCATGTGATGTTACACTACTGTATTATTTTACGTTATATCATATCATGTCATATCATATTATCATATTCCATTAATAGATAAGGACACTGAGAGGTTAAAGTCATAGTGTCTAAGGCAGAATTTGAACTCAGGTCTTCCTGACGCCAGGCTCAGTGCTCTAATGTCACCTAGTTGCCTTTTAAGCTCCCTTTAGGCTCAAATTTATCAACCTATACTCCTTTATAGCTCTAGCATTATATAATTCTATGAGGTGGGTCAGATCATGTCATCCCCCACTCCAGTGGCTTCAAGAAAAAATACAAAGCTTTCTGCCTGATATTCAAAGCTTATCATAACCCAGCCCCCTCCTACTTTTCCAGTCTTACATTGTTCACCCTGACACTTACGCCTCAATTCAGTGACAATTCCTTCCAGGAACAAGACACACTACCTCTTGTCTCCAGGCATTCCCTCTGGCTGTAGTCCATGCCAGGAGTACTCTCCCTCTTCTCTGATCTCTTAGGCTTCTGGTGAGTCCTAACTAAAAACTCACCTTCTACAGGAAGCCTTCCACAATTTCTTTTAATTCCAGAGCCTTCCCTCTGCTATTTATTTCCTATTTCTCTTTTAAATAGCTCTCTTTGTATACATTTGTTTGCATGTGATCTTCCCCACAAGATTGTAAATTCACTGAAGGCAGGTATTGTCTTCAGCTCCTTTCTGCATCCCCAGTGCTAAGCACAGTGTCCAGTATATATTATGCACTTAATAAATATCAGTTGATTGATTAATTGGTTGATTGAGTTAGTCTTTGAACAAGGGATAGGATTCAGGGGAGTAGAGAGGAGTCAGGCAGGCATGTGCAGCAGATTCCAGGCTAGGAAAGCAACATGGGCAGAAGATTTTTAGAGGGAGCAAAGGAAATATTTCTTCAATGGGATTCCACTATGACAAGGTTGAAATAATGAAAAAGCATTTGAAATGAAAACAAATTCCACTAAGGGGGCACTACTCCTTTGTAACTTTTTGTTAAAAGAAAGATTCCTTTGACCATGGAAATCATCATCACTGATGCCGAGTCCATTCTCTAACGGTAAATCATTTGCTTCTGAGCTGTGAAGGCAAAAATAAAAGCTTCCATGGGAACTCAGCAGTGCAATTCTGATAAATTGGACACTCAGTGAATGTTTCCCCTAGCTGTTATGGTGGACTTTGGAATTGGAAAATCCTGGCTTAGATTTTGAAATTGTGAAGTTAAGAGGATGAAGACTATTTTTTAAGGCATGAGAGGGTTTTAAAAGGTTGTTTATTCAGTGGGTGGGGGGTGTATGTGTGTGTGTTTTAACTGCAATTCAGAGTGACTTGGCATTATTGGTCCCACCAAGAAATCAGGAAGATCAATTTCAACAACAATGCAAGAAAGACTGCTTACATAACTGGAACTTCTGCGATTCTTTGTGGGAGGAAGTGACTCATTATGAATAAGCAAACTACTCACACACTACCTGAGCGGACCCAGTGACACACCAAACTATCTCGGGAGGACACAAAAGCCTCTTAACCACTAGAATGACTGAAAAGTTACATGGGCTTAGCTGTGTAATCTGCAGTCAATGAAAAGTTCCAAGTCATGCTAACATTGCACTCTTGTCTGGGCAGGGTGTGAATAATCCATACTCAAGGCATTATTTTGCTATTCCAATAGGTAATTTCATGCTCTATAGTACTAAAAACCAAATGTATTTGCTAGAATTGCAAACTGAATAATTGAAAACTTGTGAAACATTGGGCACTTGTGGTGTTTTGCCATGTTTGGGGAATAGGGTAGCAGCAAATAAAATAGAAATGCCCTTACCATGGTGCCTGGCACTTACTAAATGTTTGTTGACCATTCAAATTCAGAAAGCAAACATCAAGTTTTAAGTATAAAGAAATTATGTATTTTAATTTTTAAAGTCTTCAACATATGTAATTTTTTTTTGGTGGAGGGAGTGTCCATGCACGTGATTTCATTAATGAATGGAAGCCTTGGTGGGCCAGCTTCTTTCACAGATTCATTTTGACTACTGTCTCTAACAGTCTCAGAGAGTTGCCTAAGGCTCTGAAAGATTAAGAGATTTGTCCAGGATCACAAAACTAGTATGTTTCACAGGCCGGACTTAACACAGTTCTTTTTGCCTCCTCTGTACTTCCTGTTAACACATGTGCCACAAACTATTAGCTGGAAGTAATCCAGGTGATTCAGACCTCTACAGGTGAAAGGAATAATATAAGTAAAGCAAACCAGTGTGCTCACCGTATTACGATTAGCTCCACCCAGACTCGGACAAAAGCTGGTAATGGGCCAAAGACTTCCAAGATGTAAGTGTAGTGACCACCAGATTTCTTTATACACGTCCCCAGTTCAGCATAAGACAAAGCCCCTGTGAAAGATTCATGAAGAAAAAAAGAATTATAATTTTTTTTTAAATCACGTCAAAATATTCAGGTGGCACCAGAGCAAAATCTTTAGCTAAAGGTCAACCTTAAAAACAACACCTCTATCTTGAGGACTGGATGTGGACTCCCAGAGCTCCAAATTCAAATCCAACCACTGGGACATACTATGTGAATTAGTAAATCAAGTTACCTTTTCAAATCCAACCACTGGGACATACTATGTGAATTAGTAAGTCAAGTTACCTTTCTGAAGGAATGTTTCTTTATGAGTCTGTAAATCATTTTGAAAAATTCAATGTAAGAATGTTACACATAACTCTTCAAGGTGTCCCAAAAATCTTAGTGCAGTTTTGAGCTTCTATATCCTTGATATGTAGATTTTAAGTTTTAAGTAATCTATTGAAATTCAAAGGCACTAAAGTTTTGGGAAACATGGAATAAGCATCAGTTGTTAGTTGTATTATCTTTTCAAATGGGAAAGAAAATAAGTTATCTTATTCAATGCCCACCAACTTTTCTCATAAGAGAGCTAGGTGGCAGAGTGGATAAAGTGCTGTGTCCTGAGTCAGAAGGATGTGAGTTCAAATCCTGCCTCAGAGTCTTAGCTCTGTGACTCTAGGCAAATCACTTAAATCTCTATCTGCCTCAGTTTCTCCAACTATAAAAAGCTAAAAATGGCTTGGTTACAAATCAATATATTAAATAAAATTGTTTCTGGCAGACTTGAGCCTAAAACATAGAGTATATCATTAGTATTAATAGTTTCCCCCCCCTTCAACAGGTATAACATTTAACCTATCTGCAGAGGTACATAACCTTGGATAATAAATTACCTGCAATTGACTCCATTCTTCCTTTTGAGATTGCTTTGAATCATCATGCTTCCATGTCAAAGAATGATAAAGAACCCTCAGTAGTTCTTTTTTAAGAGAGTCTCAAAATTATACACTTTGACAATTTTAAACTTGAAGGACTCAATTTATAAATGACATAACTATTAAAAGAGTTCTCTGAATTAATCAGGCCACATCTCTTGGATGGACACCTCCTTCTGGGAAAGTTGAAAGGACAAACAAAAATAAGTCCTGCTTTAATTTATGTTACTCGGGAAACTAATCATGAAACAATACTCCCATTATTTTGCTAATATAATTCAAAAGGAAATTATTTGCTGAGTTCTAGAGTAAATATCACATGACAGTACAATATGCTAAGGGGTATGGCCACAGTAAAGGGAGAATCATCACTAGGAACTGTCCAACAGGAGTTACCTTTTGGCAATAGCTTTTAAAATCCCATTTATTGCATCTTTAGTATAAGTCAGAAATAGATGAGCAAATTAGTTGTAAACAGTTGTAACCTAGGTACTGTTAAGAGGCATTCAACCTATTGGTGCTATCCAGAAGATCCGGTTAGCATTTTTATTGTTAAAGACCAGCAGAAGACGTGCCTGCTGCCAGAGGAATCAATAAATAGCTAAACCTGCTCTCTGTTAACACACCAGGATGATTGCCCCTAGATTTAACCTGGTAAGCTCTGAAGGAAGGGGTTTTTTCAGTCAGAGGTCTCAGGTTGCACAACTGTCAGAGCCTAGATGCGAGTTCAGAGAAAGATGTGTAAAATCCATCTATTGACACTAGGCCTTTAAAATGTCCTGAGCCAAAGCTTTGGCCTCCCCTAAGCCTAGTTCCAGAGCTTTGGAGCATTTGGGGCAACTAAAGGTTTGGGTTTTTTTTCCCTTTTTTAAAATTTTGTTTAGTTTCCTGTTAAAGAGGAACTCCTATCAAACTCCTAGCAATAGTGATGTATGGTAGGCAAACAGAGATAAGTAGATTCATGTAAGAACACACTCCTAGCAACAAGCAGTCAGAGAACACAAGTTTAAGCGGAACCAAACCTACATCCCCACAGCAGTGTTTTCTTGGTGGACCTCCTCTGCTTAAGGTGTGATTCAAGTCCAGAAATGGTCATTAAATGCCTCAGTTTCTTCACCCATAAAATAGGAATAATAATGCCTTGCCTATGTCAAAGGGAAACATGAGAATGCAAATCTCTTTCAAGTTGGTTATCCTCTTTCTTCTAGAGAGTTATCCTGTACACATTTATCAATGTATATGTTGTTTAACCCCATCCCACCCCACCCCACACCACCATTCACCAGAATGCAAGCACCCTGATGGTAGGGACTAATTGATTTTTCTTTCTTTTTATTTCCCAGGGCCTACCACAGTATTTGGTAAAAGTAGCTAACTAATAAATGCTTACAGAATTGTATTGAATTGAAATGCCTACTTGTAGACATACTTTCATAGTAAAATTCAACAGAACAAGTTATTTTATGCTTAGAATACATATACATGTATATACAAATAATATACATATATTCAAATTAACAAACATATAAATATATGTATATATATGTATATGTATACATAGATGTGTGTGTATTAATGCATTTCGGATTCGTGATGTCTCATTTTAGGGAATTGCTACTGCTATTACTACCTTCATCCACCTGCATGAGTTACTTAATTGGTAAATCCCAGGGAGATGCCTCCAACACACTGAAGTTAAATGACTTAACCAAGTTTCCCCAGATGTCTTTTTTGCTCCAAAAGAGAGAGATTTAAACACAAATCTTCCTGACTGTTAGTCTCATATTCTATCAACTTCTCCACACTGTCTCTAAAAGACACCAAAGGCCCATTAATATTGACTATTCTATGTAGTCATCTCAAGGATTCATCCAAGTTAAGAGGCTGAAATTGGGCTATACTTCGGGACATCTAGAGAAAACTCCTCCCAACTCATCAGATCAAGATCACCAAATACACAAAGACAGAATCCATCTATTGCCATAAGCTGACGTGTGCATGCTTGAAGGATATGTATTTAAAAAAGCATTTGATGGATTCTGGATTATGATAAAAACAGTATACATTTATACTGTCCACACAATAAAGACATAAATTAGGTACTAAAGGTATTATTTATCATTTTATATATGAACAACGAAGCCCGGAGAGATTTATGACTTGCCCATAGTAACTTAGTTAGTGTCAGAGGTACAAATTTGGGTGGGTATATTGGTACATTTTTAACAAATGGCTCTCTCTCTAAAAAAAAAAAAAGATAGCTGCATTGAAAGTTTTATCTGCATTAAAAACATTTCCTCCGTCACTTTCTCAAGTCTAGACAATCAACAAAATCAAGCTTTAATTTGCAGTATTTGCTGATTTCCAAAGGGTAAATGCTCACACTGAAAATTTAACAACTGGCTAGGTATGAGTCAGTTCCAGCACACCTCTGTTATAAATAAATAAATAGAAAAATTATTAAACAGGTGCACACATATGTACCTATATATACATATATGTCATATTATATATATTCTATCACATATAATAAAATATTACATATAGTATACATTTTACATACTATGTGTTTATTCTACATGTGTACGCATACATATATTGTCTATATATGTATGCACATGTGTACCACGTGTGTTTTGTTTTCTACCTATGTATGAGTCCTCCCTGAATAGAATGTAAGCTTACTTGAAGGAAAAGGCTATTTGATTTTTGTCTTTGTATGCTCGGCACCTAGACAGCTCCTGACACACAGGAACTAAAAGGTCATCTAGTACAACCTGTAAATTTTACAGAAAACTGAGTCGTAGAGAGGTTGCCCTGAGACCCAGAGACTTGCCCGAGGTCACATTGGTAGTAAAAGGTAGACTGGGATTAGAACTCAGGTTTTGTGATTACAGGTTCCAGGCTCTTCAGTGTTTAATATTGCTTGTTGATTTTTATTAATCTTTAATATCTCCTCTATGAATAAATCTAACTAATGGCACTATATATGCAAAAGCAATTTTTGATGCAAAAAACAAGATAGATATATTTTTCATTAATGATCTTAATTCCTTTATATTAACTATACTAGATGTTGTTCCAAGGTTACAATTCATGATGTACAATAAGAAATGTAATGGTTACATTTCTCTATATTCAGAGGTATAGTGTTATATAGTAAAAAGAGCATGAAATATGGAGTTAGAGGGCCTAGGTTCATGTGTCTTCCCTTCTATTTAGCATATATAACCCTGGGCTAGTTATATTAAATCTAGATTCCATTCTCTCATCTGTAAAAAACAGGTTTCTGAGACTGACTGATATTAGTTCTTGATCTTATGATCTAAAAAGCCATAGCATGGAACCATTTTGACATAGTATACCATTCCAAAGACTCTATACTCTTTAGTAAAATCATCAGAATCATATAAATTCAAATCTATCCTGGTTATCCACAAAGACAGAATACAATTATGTCGGTGAAAATGATACATTAGGACTGCCACTAAGATAGGGAGACTGTAGTAGAAAGAGAACTGGCCTTGGAGCCTGAGAGACCTGGCTTGAAATTCTTCTTCTGTGACCCTGGTCATGTCACTTAACCTTCAGCATCCCAGACAAATCTGTAAGATCATAAGTGGCTTATCTGAGATGGTAGAGTTTCCCCAGCAGACATCGATTACACTGAAGAAGTCACAGTTCCAGACCAAAAGAAAAAATATATATAAATAAAACGAATAATAATGTAAAACAATAGCTAGTAGAAGGAAGTAAGCAAGGAAGAGAAAGGAAAACCTCCTTTGACCTAGAATATTCCACTCCTTGGTTGAATGGCAGAGGTATGAATCCAGTTATTTCCTTATAATGGAACTCTGAGTTCTGAAGTTGAATAGAAAAATCATTGGAATTACCAGAAAAATAAGAATGGGTCAGCAAAACCCCAAGTGACTCAGCACTTTTTCTAGAATTGGTTAATTGGTTTGTAGTGTGAAGGTCAGAACATTCACAGGATCAGAGTCAAAGCTGGAAGGGATCTTAGAGATCATGTAGTACAGGGGTGGGCAACCTTTGGCCTCGAGGCCACATGTGGCCCTGACCAAATACAAACTTCACAGAACAAATCCACTTAATAAAAGGATTTGTTCTGTAAAACATGGACCCAAGGACCTAGAAGGCCACTGGTTCCCCACCCCGACGTAGTCTAACTCCTTTATTTTACTGATTAGGTACCTGAGGCCCAAAGGAAGTTAAGTAACTTACCCAAGATCACATAGATAGCGGCAGAGCCAGGATTCAAACCCATGTTCTCTGACTCCACTTCCAGTGATCTTTCTTCTGTATCTCTCTGGAATCAAAATATATTCTTCTTGATCCTTAAACTTATTCAGGACTTACCTTGCTTTAAAATGGCAGATTTAGCTGTCTGCTCCTTGGCAGACCATTAACTGCTACTGCTTCATGTACTGGGCCAATACAGATGACATTGTATAGATCTGACACTTAATTAAAACTTGAAGAGTTTCATTGAGTTTCACTGAGAGCATCTGGTCATCAAATTCTTTGGGACATCAGATGGACACAGGGGAAGAAAATGTGCCTGGGTATACTGCTCAGATTCCCACCTAACCTAGATCAATATTTAGGTCACAGAAAATTGTAGGGGCCTAACATTTAATAGGAATTCGATACCTGTTTTTGTTTAAAGTCGAGTAGATATCTTTTGGAGTTGACCATCATTCTTTAAATCACCTATTAATACAATCATCTGAACTGGGGGAAGAAGCTTCTTTTCAACTTTTTTTTCCAGGTTCATTAAACTTCACCAAAAGCATCTTGTCATCAAACTTTTGGAACAACAGACTGACACAAGTGAAAAAAAATGACTCTGGATAAGCCACTAGGCTCCCACTCAACCAAGCTCAATATTTAGGCCACAGATAATTGGAGCGGGGGGAAGGTGGACAAGAAGGAAAGTTATAACGTACTAATTATATCCTCTACTCATGCAAGCACAGAACTCTTGCATAGCAAGTTGTACTATAACTTTCTGTAGTTCAGTGGTTCACAAGGAAATGTCAGGCCCATAAAGGTAGGGTGTGTGTGTGTGTGTGTGTGTGTTTTAAGGAAAAGCACTTCCTCACTTCCTCACCATTTGTTTCACCAATAAGAAGTAAGGAAAACTGCTGGACAACTCAGCACTAAATCTAACTAGGCCAACCAGGTTTTACATTTCACAGAGGCTTTGGGGCTAAGCTCTAGCATTGCCCAGACAAGCACAAATGTCCAGTGCTTGCCTTTTTATAGGCAATGAAAATGAGTGCTTATTCCCATCATTATGAAGAAAAGAAATAAAAATATTTTCTCTTCATCAGGAAAAGAAAATAAAGGAGGCTGGGGAAGGAAAGAGGGAACTATTCAAGTCATCCAGGAAGTCCTAGATGACTTGAATGATTTCTCCTCATTACTACTCATCTACTCTAATTCTACTAGAAGAATTGCTCACCTCTCAAATCAGCATGCCAGGTTGCATGCTACTTCACCCTCCCGCAGACATCCCTTCAAGGGACTCCACTTTTAAACATAAACTCACCAAATAGAGATACGAGCCCACAGACCGTCCAGACGATCAGAGACATGCCCACGGTGCCCGTGTTTTGGAGAACTCCTTTGGGGGAGATGAAGATGCCAGCCCCGATGATAGTGCCAATGATGATGGAGATGCCCCTCAGCAGCGTGATCTTTTTCTTCAGCACCATCTTCCCCTGCTCAGGGGCATGTTTGCTGCCCTTGGGGGGCAAGTGGCCATGAGCATCCCCCTGGAGGTAGCCTCCATTGGAGATGGAGGACATCACAGGCTTCCTGACCATAGTGGGATTCGGCCAAACTCAAGGAGAGAAAGAGAAAGAAAAAAGCAAAAAATACAGAAAAGGAGAGGAGAAGGAGGAGGAAGGAAAGGAGGAGAACGACGACGAGAAAGACAGGACGAGGAGAAAAACTTTGAAAACAAGGTCTGGTCTCCCTGCTCCCTGACTGAGTTCGGACTGTTTCCTGTCCTTGTAGCCTTTCACGCGGCTCTAGTGTTCACAGGTATGGACCTTAAAGTTGTGTTTTACTCTTCCAGCCTCTCTAATTATTCGTCAAGAACACCTGTGCCTTTCCCACTGCAGCCCGAACCTTTCCTTTCTGCCCCTGCTGCTGCTCTTACTGCTGCTGCTGCTGCTGCGGCTGCCCTGCCATTAGAAACTAGCTCGGCTTCCTCAAGCGCTTGTATTTAAGCTCCTGTCACACCAACTTACTCCTGCTAAATGATGATGCAAATTCTCCAGGTTTGCATCAGCCACATGAGAAGGCTCCAGCATTACTCAGCTCTTTTTTTTTCCCCCTTTCCCCAAACAGTGGCGGCATGTAGCACAACTGACCTGCGCTTTCCAGAGAACAAAGCCTTTACTTAAAAGGCCTCAGGAGCCAATCCAGGAGGAGGAAACACACACAGACCCTCCCAGAGGTGGAGAGCAACTCTCTGGGAGGCCCCAAGGCTCTTCAAACAGAAAGAAAATGAAATACGAAACAGGAAACATCTACTTAATTTTTATCGGGGATCGCCACCCCCCCTTCCCCATATACATGCACGCACACACACCTTTTATATGAACCAGGCAAAAGTTGAAGGAAATACCAAACTACATGAGTAATCAAAAATACAGAATTCTCAGTGTGACCCCCATGTACACCTTGTCATTTCCAAAGAAAGAAAGAAAGAAAGAAAGAAAGAAAGAAAGAAAGAAAGAAAGAGAGAAAGAAAGAAAGAAAGAAAACTTTAGGTTGCTTAGCAACTGAACCAAATCTGTCTTATGGGGAGAGACAGAGACAGAGGGAGACAAAGAGACTGGGGGGGGGGGGGGAGAGAGAGGGGGGGGGGGAGGGAGAGAGGGAGAGAGAGAGAGAGAGAGAGAGAGAGAGAGAGAGAGAGAGACTTTCCATAGCACCTTTCTCATCCCAAAGGAGATTATGACTCATTGAAAAGAAGTAGGGGAGGGAGAGCTTTTTTTCATTTTACTCGGACAATACACTTAAATTTCCCCATTGTGATGGTGTGGTCCCTGAGAATATGAGTACTTTTAAAAACCACAATTACCCAAACCAGAATCATTTTCAGATTTCCAGGCTACTTGGTGATTTCCTAAAGAGAATTTTTTTTTTCTTTTTCTTAAATTGACATCTCTCAGGAAATTTTTGTTCCCTAAGGGTAGTTATAGAGATAGCAAAGACTAGTGGTTTGTTGTTCTTGTTCAGTCATTTCAGTCACATCGTGACCCCATCGTGGGTTTTCTTGGAAAAGATCCTGGAGTGGTTTGCCATTTCCTTCTCCAGCTCATTTTACAGATGAGGAAAATAAGGCAAAAAAAGGGTTAAGTGATTTACCCAGTTTGAGGAAGAGACCTGGGCTCAAGTTTAGCCTGTCATATAAAATGTTATGGCCTCAGGCAAGTCAACTCACTGCTCAGTTGTAGACTTTCCTTAGTGGAAGGTGTTTGGAATTCTCTATACCCATTGTATCCCTTCGGATTTTGCAATAATCCTGTGAGATCAGAACTACAAGTATTATTAGCCCATTTCACAGATGAGAAAAGTTTCCAAGAGGGGTGCTGACTTGCCCACCACTTCTATGTGTATTGTGGGGAGGTGAGGGTGTAGAAAGGTATAATCAGATTTTCAAAAATAGCTTTGATTTAAAAAAAAAATTCGCATGGAAAGAAACATTAAAAAGTGGCAAGGATTTTCATGCCCTCTAACTCCGTCTACCAACGGTCTCTGAATCTGGTGCCAAGAGAATCACAAGCCTGTATGTCAGCAATTGGCTGCATTTACCTGTGGTTTGGGATTTCAGGAGCGGAAGAAGTTACATTATCATCCATCTTTGCACTTTTCACTTAACTAGCTTCTGAGGAGCTAGATAAAAATCAAATAAAGCTTGTCAGAGAGGTGTGAAAGGGAGGGGAGAAGGAAGGAGGCTGGAGAAAGCCAGGTGATAGTCCTGGAATGCTCAGCTTCACTTCTACCCAATTATCCTCTGGAGGATTACTGTAGCCTTAACCACATGGATACGAAGAAAGTGCGATCCATAGGCTCAGATTATTTAGAGCTGCAAGGGACTATCTCAATAACAACAAATGACTTTATATAGCTTTTCATGAACATTTTTAAAAGATTTGCAAAAACACAAAAGTCTTACAGACATTATTTCCTTTGGGTCTTGCAATAACCAATTGAGCTCAGAACTACAAGTATTATCAGTCTCATTTCACCAATGAGGAAACTGAGTTTCCAAGAGGGGGCTGACTTGCCCAAGATAATCCAGCTAACAAGTGCCCCTGGCAGAATTCAAACCCTAGTCTTTCAGATTCCAGGTCTGACATTCTATTCACCAAACCACAATGAATGTACGAATTGGATTGGATTTCATCTAGTCGACCCATACCAGGACAAGAATTTCCTTTTTATCATTCATAGAATAGATCATTCAGCTTTTACTTGAAGGTCTCCAGTGAAAGGAAACCCACTACTCTTGACAGCCCATCATATTTTAAGATAGCTCTGAATGTTGGGAAGATCTTTCTCAAATAGAGCATGTTATCCAAATCCCTCATTTAATAATAATAACAACACCATTTATAAAACACTTACTATGAATGTGCCAGGCACTGTGCTAAGCCCTTTGACAATGATTATTTCATTTGATCCTCAAAATAACCCTGGAAGGTAGGTGCTATTATTATCTTCATTTTACAAATGAGTAAACTGAGGCAGACAGAAGTTAAATGACTCACCCAGAGTCACAACCAGTAAGTGTCTGAGCCCAAATTTTGAACTCAGGTCTTCCTGACTCCAGACCCAGAGCTCTATCCACTGCTCCACCTAGCTGACCCCATATTACAGAAGTAGAAACTGAGTTCCAGAGACAGGAAGTACACAAGGTACTTAACAATGCAAGCATTAAGCACCAGAGCCAGCATTCAAAATGCAGATGATCTCAGTCCAAACCCCATCCTCTTTGCTCTGTTAGGAAAAACCTCTATTTTCCTTACCTAGCCCAGAAATTGCTCCAGGTTTTCATTGCTTCCATACTATGTTCTTGCCTAAATTCCTTTGACAAGATTAATTCTTCCTAAATATATGGGCTAGCTATGAACCATCAACCATCAATCAATGTCAAAAAAACAAAACCTGGCATTTTTTTTAGACTCTAAGGCTTCTAAATCTCTCTGCATCTCATTTGGCCCCAGATGGTACAACCAGGAATATTGGGTAAATGTTGCAGAGGCAATTTAGGCTTGATATCAGGAAAAAACAAACAAATCCAACTTCTTAACAATTAGAGCTACACAAAAGGAGAATGGGTGGTCTGGAAAGATATTAATTTCCCTTTCATTGGATTTTGTGATGAATAAAAAATTAGAGAGATAATATTTTGGGGTAATTAATCATTTTACTAATTATGGCTAGTAAAGAATTAATAAAAGTTTGGTCATTTGGTTATCTCTTGTAAACCAAAAGAGGAATCATGAAGGCCTCTCAAAGTGTATATGCCCTTGGAAGAGTGAGTGTCCCCCCACAGGTGGTAATCAACTGATTGGTTAACTATAAGAAAATGAATATCATTATAGTATATATTATAATATAATAGGTGGACCTATTCTAATGAGGGGCTGGGGAACTTGACTTTGATTATGTCACTCTTACCCCCAGATCACCCCCAGCCTCAAGCAATCTAGACAAAGGATCTACAACACACACACACACACACACACACACACACACACACACACACACACCCCCACACACACACAGTTCCACCTAGATAAGATGGTCCTGGTGGGGTAAGTTTTGTGGCAAGGTGAATAATATCCTTTCAAGACTGACTGTATTAAACTACTGGGGATTATTTCTGAATGAGGAGAGACAAAAAAAAAATATTAATCTCAATAAGTTGTTATTAATATAAGAGAGAAATAATGATTTCTCTCAATTTCTTTAAGAAAAGGCTAGATGACCACTTGTCAGGAGTGTTACACTGGTCATTCAATCCGTATATGAGCCGGACCTAGTGGTCACTCAAGTCCCTCCCACCTTTAAAGTTCTTTGATTCCCACGTAAAGCGGAATGGGGGTGAGGAGGAAACAGTGAGTCCCAGGGAAGTATGACAAGTGTTATTATTTCCATATTTCAAATGAAGAATATGAGGTTGAATGATTTGCTACTAAGTGTCTGAACTGAGATTTGATTTTAGGTCTTCCTAACTCTGGTAGCAGATGTACTAGGCCCCCTGACTCTCTAATCCCTATGGTGTCTCAAAGAGACAACAAGTAGCCAGCTTAAGGGTGCGTATTAATATATCAGGACACTAAGGTTCAGGGAGACATCATCAATACAAAAACTTGTCACTATTCAGTCATGAACCCATTTGGAGTTTTCTTGGAAAAGATGCTGGAGTGTGTCAACCTCCAGATGTCAAGGCTAAAAAAAGACAAACAGATTAAGTTGTGTCCACATTTTTATTTCTCTCAAGCTGGTGACACCTGTGCATTGCATGAGAGCTACAGTCCATGACTGGGCCACCCCCCTCCCCCTGCAAGAACTGGGCTCTATTTAGGGGTTGGGATACAGAATTATATGTCCTTCGAAGAGTAGGTGTTCCCAAGGGCTGCCAATCAATTCTGATTGGTTAACACACTAGGAGGTGGGCTATATTAAAATGAAGGTCTTGGGGTACATGACTTAGGTCACCTAAATCTTGGTCAGAGACATCAGTTTCCATATCACCTGTCTTGACAAATAGGAAGAATCAGCATTTTCCCAGACCTGTCTGGGCAACACAACGAGCAGGAATCCACCCGTTAGCCCAGGAAGAAGGGGAATGGGGGGGAAGCTCTGAGTCTCCAAGACAATGATTACTAAGAAAAATCATTTTTCACAAGTGGTTTGCCATTTCCTTCTCCAGCTCATTTTACAGATAAGGAAACTGAGGCAAACAAGGATTAAATGACTTGCCCAAGGTCACATAGCTAATTAGTGTCTGAGGCCAGATACAAACTCAGGAAGATGAGTCTTCCTGATTATAGGCTGGGCACTCTATCTTCAATGCCACCTCAATGCCTAATACAAAGATAAGTGGGGGCAGTGAGGTCCCAGGACAATGCCTGAGCATGTCCACTACATTTAGAAAATCTCCTTGTAGAAATACAAATCAGTTCATTTTTAAGGCCAAATGGAAGCCTTTTCACAAGCTTTTTGTCTTTCAAAAATTAAAATGGTCATCTTCCTCCCTTTATATTCTCTTTCTTATAGCTTAGAAAGGGGAAATAAGAATACACACACATACACACATTCATGTATATGTGTATGTGTATGTGTGTGTGTGTGTATATATATATATATATGTATGCATATTTATTTCCTCCCACTATTTTCTGCTTC